GGTGGTTAACTTGAAATGTCCTCTCCCGCTGGCAATGGGTTGCCTGATTGGCAGTTCACTCGAAATGTACCCTCCCGCTGGCAGCGGGTTGCCTGGTTGGCAAGTCACTGGAAACGTGCTCCCCCACTAGCAGCGGGGATGTAAGTAGTGTTCAATTGCCAGATTGATGTGTCTGGCTGCTCCCGCTATCATTGGGGGTACTTGAAATGCTTGATTACCGAATCAGGGAAACTGGTTGTTCCCGTACTCAGCGGGTATACTTGGAATGCTCAATTACAGAATTGATGCAAATGGTCGTTCCCACTATCAGCAATTATACTTGGAATGCTTGGTTACCGGATTGGTGAAAAATGGCTGGATGTAAACTTCTTCTTATCTCTCCTACTTCGTGCGTCAGTAGCTGCTATTCCCGCTAGCCTGATCTACCGTAGACGGTCGTCCAGGTAGGTGCGTGGAATATCCACAAATACATACATAAATAAATTAATAAAAATTTCCCCGTCACTCTCCTTCACTCTCTCATTTTCTAACAGGCTCGGCGTCCACAGTACCCAGGCACCAGCTCCAGCCCACTGGCGTAGACAGCTTCGACGAGTTTCGCAATGGTTCCGAGCCGAGATAGTCCCCTATATCCCCCTCCTTGCCACGGGCTTTAGCGGGTCAGTGATATCTGAGCGACTAAGCACTTAGGCCCGTAGTGGCCACGGCGTCGGGGCAGGGGCCCCCATGCGGATCCACCTGTACTGCCAGTTTCCGCACGGTACCTTGCGAAACCGCGTGGCCCTTCAGACCCTGCAGTACCAGTGATCTTCGGGTAGCAGAAGTAGTCCCTTGAGCTAGGCAAGCTGAGCCCAATCCCACCAAAAAAAAACAGCTCTGCAGCCAACCCCCCCTTAGTCTGCATATGTCTAAAGGTTAACACTTCTATCTGCCGCTGGCCACACTACCCGTATACCGGCAGTTTGATGGTACCAAGTCTCATAGAACCGGAGCAAATGTGGCAATCTCCGACCGATCGCTGGATCAGCGCGCGTAAGTGTCCCAGGCTAGTACACACACGAAAATAGTGGTACCCCGTTGCGGTGTCCCATGGATCAAGTTGCGGCGTCACCATACCAATTCCGAACCTTGAACTAGCCAACTAGAACTTGTCTCGACGTTATATCTCAACAATCCGTACCTGTTAATGTCAAACCCGGATCACTCAGTCAGGCTTGCTGTAATTCTTATCATACCGAAGCCGAACTTGATATAACCATCCGGGGATCCCGTGCCTCGCGCCGTGTCGATACCGATCTAGTACCAAGTCTGAAAATGATGCTGTGGCGTGTACCTCGCCAATGCCGAACCAATACCGTACCTGAAACATGTCGAACACGACAAGATGCAGCAGCGCGGTAATAGTACCGAACCTGAAGTAAACCGTCGCAATGATCCCGGACCTGAAAATAAATCACCGCAGAGGTTCCGAAATAAACTGTCGTGAGGGCGTCGAACCTGAAACGAAACACCGCGATGCCACCGAACCTGACCAAACCTGAAATCCAGTACCGGGCTGTTATGCCATGCGGATGCCGAACCCGTACAATCATGCCATGATAACCTGTCCCGAACGTGCTATAGAATGCCGCAACGTTTCCGGACCTGAAAACAAACTGCCGCCTGGAATAACTATCGTAGTGGCCCCGGTCCTGAGAATAAATCACTGCAGCTGTCCCAACCCTGAAAATAAGTCACCGTAGTGAAACAGCTGTCACCGGACCCATACCGTACCTGAAGCACGTCAGACACCGTAGGACGTAGCCACTCCGTAACGACCCTCGTATCCGTACAGAACCAAACACCATAGTCGACCAAGGCAGCATGCTGTCCATGCGACTCCTGCTCTCAGAACATCTCAACTGCGGTAATGTTAGTAATCAAGCACACCAGGGAAAGCGTCGCAGGGAACCTCGACCATCGCCCGTAGTGTTAACTTGTTAAAATCCAGGAAAAATGATCAATCCGGAGTCAGAGCTGATGGCGGATAATCGAGGCGAAATTAGGCCAATCTCCCAATAGCCATGGGTTCCCGTCCCTTTCATCGTTTTTCATCATTCTTCCCTTTCCTTAATTCTATTGTCAAAAATAGTAAATTATCTGTAAGTTCCCCAAAATTAAATTTCGAGAAAATTTAAATAAATGACCGAATTCCTTTTGTTTCTTTTCTCTTTTACCATTTTTAATATCTTTCTATGTTTTTAATTTCATTGCCAGGAACATAAAATAACAAGGGTATTCCCCCTTGAATTAAATGCCGTAAAAAATAAAGAAATTAAGGGATATTATGTTTTTCCCTTCTCCCCTACTGGTCGTAATCCCTTTTCCCGATCCTTAATTATGGTACTAAAATAGACAAAAATTTGAGGCCTCATTTCGGCCCCGGTCGTATGCCGCAAAAAATGTGGCTGCGAGGTCAGTTCCCGCGATGCCTCTCCGCGGCAGGCCAATCCGGGTCTAACCCTTTTAACGGCCAGAAATGACGGTCCGTTGATGTGCCGAGTGCGACCACCCATCTCGCCATCTTTGAGGGTTACCCGTAAGGTTCAGCGCGCCCAAAATCAAGGGCGCTCTGAGCTCCCCTAATTTCCGCTGCCTGGTCTAACCAGAGTACCGTAAAAACTCAGACTCGTCTTTGCGCCTAAGTCCCAAAACCGTAGATTTCAGGCGGCGCACTGCTTGTGGCCGCCTGACAGCGGTACCACAAAATGGCGTGCGTCTCTTCTGACCGATCATCACTGCGTAAATTGTTCTCTTGCCACCCTGCAGCCTCTGCCTGGCGGCTTGCCCATGTCAGACACTCACGACTGTTACGAAATGAGATATTTCTTGGGTCGAATCTAGGATTCTTGAGGAGTGACAACAGACAGTCAACGTCAGTTTGGGACATGCCCACACCGCCCCTGCATGAGAAAATCAATGTCGCAAGTTTGCAAGAACTCTCGAATGCCTCACTGTGTTGTTCTTGTTGTTCTTCGGATGCGCAGTCTGCTTCCACATCGGGAGGGGGCTCACCTCCTCGCTTTCCCCACAACCCAGATTAATGGGACCACTATTAGACGGTCCACTGATAACCTCCCCAACTATCTCTTGTGCCGTGCTCCTCTCTTCCACAGCGGACGGACATGCCCGCGCTCGGTGTGAGTTCATCGTCCGTAATGACATGAATGACATGAAAGGCCGCCCACAGTCACACACGTGACTCGAACCATCCATTGCAACTACGTGCGATAAATACAAAATGATGCCACTTAAGACCTATCGCAGATGGAGGATGCGCGTTCGGTGTGAAATTCATGAGTTCCTTTCACACTCCCCCCACCCCCGTCCCCCCTCTCCCTCCCGTCGACTCAACACCGCTGTTGTGCACTGATGACAGATTCCAAGACAACGACAACATTCCAAGCGGTATTAAAATCAAGAATTTTTGTGAATGTTTCGCCTTTTTATTTTTATTTTTTTACTTTGAGGCATGCCACATTTTCTTTCAAAGTGTCACATCCTCGTTTTCTGAGCGCACACATACACAAACACAGATAGATAGATAGATAGATAGATAGATAGATAGATAGATAGATAGATAAA